ACGAGGCGGCTCTCCAAGGTCAGTCAGCAGGTAGGTGAGCCAGCGAAGCTCCTGTGCAGCCATGGCCCCGGCGTAGATCTCAGCCTCACAACTGGAGCCGAGAACCGAAGACGAGCGAGTAGACCGCGACGAGACAGAGCCGGAACCAAGGCTGAAGGTGTAACCCTGTGACGACCGCTGCGTAGCCTGGTCGTCAGCCCAAGACGCGTCCGCGTGGCCGGTAAGGACCACTGGACTCCGCCCTCCAAGCACTAGCCCCATGCCTGACGTACTGCACAGGTAGCGCAATACCCTCTTCGCTGCAGCCATGTGCTCCGGTCTGTGTCTCCCAGGAGCAACATAGCGTGCAAGAATGCTCAGAGGGTATGCAAGGTCAGGTCGTGTGCAGGTCATCAGGTACATGAGGCAGCCAACAAGCTCCGCATACGGACCACTCGACTCTACGGACTCATCCGAAGGCAGAGCTGAGAGTGAGTGGCGAGTAGGCAGAGGAGTGGCCTGAGGCGAGGAGTACGTGAAGCCGAAGCGCTGAAGGACCTGCTGCACCATGTGTGACTGAGTCAAGGTAATGGTGCGGCGTGCTCTGTCCCGAGTGATCTGCAAGCCAAGGTAGCTGCGCAGTTCACCCAGGTCTGTGCACGTGTGTCTCTTCAACAGCTCGGACTTCACGTAGGCGAGTCCAGCAGTGTCCGCTGTGGCAAAGACCAGGTCGTCGACGTACACGAGGATGTAGAACGGCGGCAGGGAAGTGTCGGTGCGAAGAAACAGCGACGGGTCAGCAGTAGAAGGAGCAAACCCAAGAGCCGCAAGTGTAGTCCTCAGTGTGTCGTGCCACTCACGCGGTGCCTGGCGGAGACCGTAGACTGGCCGTCGGAGGCTCCACTGGGTGCCAGGAGGGAAAGTCCCAGTGAAGCCAGGTGGACGGCGAAGCCAGATCTCCTCGTGCAGGCTACCCTGCAAGAACGCAGTGCTGAAGTCGAGAGAGTGAAGCTCGTAGTCGCGCTGAGCGGCTATGTGCAGCAGCACCCGAAGAGTAGTCATCTTCGGGGTGGGAGAGAAGGTCTGAAAGTAGTCAACTCCCTGCCGCTGACTGAAGCCACGAGCAACGTACCGTGCCTTGAAGACAGGTGGAGAGCCCGGCGGCCGCTTCACCCTGAAGATCCACATGCCACTGACGATGTTCGCCCCAGGAGGGGGAACTGCGTCAACGTAGGTGCCTGTGGACTTCCAGGAAGCCATCTCTGCATCCATAGCTGCCTGCCACTGAGAGGAGTAGGGACCCTCTACGGCCTCCGCGTAAGAACGCGGAGTCGGGATGTCTAGTGCATCCGGGTCTCCCTCAGGGGCAAGCAGTACAGACGCGAGATGAGGTGAAGCAGCCGCTAGACACTGTAACTCCTCCTGCCTGTCCTCTAGGACGTCCGTGCCAAGAGCACACTCACCCCCGACGGACGGAGGACAGACAGACGCAGACTCAGCAACAAGACTAGCAGCGTAGTCGAGACGACAGCGAGCAGCAAAGTCGACGAGCTCAGCGACTAGAGCAGACGCAGCAGTGGACTCAAAAGAGGGGTCAGTGACGACAGTAGCAAGCAGACGCGTGACAGTGGGACTGGCAGCACGAAGAGAGTCCGACTCAGGGTCCGCAAGCGCAGGAAGAGAGGACTCAGGAGGAGAAGGCAAAGGGGCACGCAGAGGAGCAGTGGACGGACGTAAAGACATCCGGTGCGTGCCAGGGACAGGAGGAGGACGCTGACGCGAACTGCGACCACTAGCGCGAGCAGCACGAACAGGCGACGCGGGACGAGACGCAGGCTCACGACGCTCAGCAAGACCTCCAGTAGGACCAGTGTAAGGAGAGGGAGCAGGCAGCGGAGAGGAAGGCTCCAGTAGGGGCTGCGACTGGACAGGCGGTGGACCCTCTACTGGAGGAGAAAGACCAAGAACCTGCTGAAGGAGCGGAACGAAGTACGGCCGAGGCCGCGCGGCAGCTCCAGACTCAGCAGGGACAGCACCAGCACCCTCAGCGACAGCACCAGCGCCACCCACACCTCCAGCGGCAGGACCAACAGCAGCAGGCTCAGCACGAACGCCCTCAGCAGCTCCAGCTGCAGGAGGACCCGCAGGGCCAGCAGCTCCGGGAACGGCTGCACCCGCACCCTCGACGGTCGAAGAAGCTCCAGCTCCAGCTCCAGCAGCACCTCCAGACTCAGCAGCACGCCTCCAGCGGCGAGCGAACCACTCGCGCAGCTCCTGTGGAGAGAGGGGCTCCCGGCGAGACGCAGCAGCAGGAGAAACCCCAGGCTCAGCAGCTCCAGACGCAGCACCCCCAGGCTCAGCAGCTCCCGACCCAGCACCCCCAGACCCAGCACCTCCAGGCACAGCACCCCCCGGCTCAGCACCCCCAGGCTCCGCACCCTCCGCAGTAGCACCCTCAGGCCCAGCACCCCCAGCAGTAGCACCCCCAGGCTCAGCACCCCCGCGCACAGCACCCCCAGAGTCAGCACCCCCAGGCTCAGCACCCGCAGCAGCACCAGAGTCACCAGTAACCTCGACCGGGTCAACGGCGTCTACCTGGGACACACCTGAGGGGGCAGGAACCTGAGGGGGGAGGGGGTCTACCGGGGGGGGAACCGGCACAAGGAAGTCCGGGGGAGGGGGGAGGGAAGGAGTGCGGTAGGGGAAGAGACGGTAGAAGGGGACTGACTCGTCGAACGTGACGTCCTGGGAGGACAGAACACGACGAGAGGAGGGGTGGTAAAACTGCCACCCTGGGGCGTCAGTGGGGAAGCCAAGGAAGACACAGGGAGCAGCACGAGGGGACAGCTTGTCCGCAGACAAGTCGCGGACAAACGCCCGAGATCCCCAGACACGGAACACAGACGCATCGCCAACCTTCCCCGTCCACAGCAAGGCTGGGGACATCGCTGGCCGAGAGACCCGGGGGTGAAGGTTGAGCTGATGCGCCGCGTACCTCACCGCAAACGGCCACAGAAAATGGGGGGCAGCCGCATGCATCATGGACGTACGAGCGACATCCATGACCATGCCAATGCGGCGCTCAGCAATCCCATTTTGCTGTGGTGAGTCCGGAAGCGTGAAGGTCTGGCGGATCCCCCGTGCACGACAGTAGTCTCGCAGAAGGCGAGAAGAGAACTCTCCGCCTCTGTCAGAGTGCAGACGCAGAACAGGAAAGTCCGAGCCGAAGCTCTTCCTGAGCTGGAGACGAGCCTCGCGGATCCAGTCGATCAGCACCTCAGTGACTGCACCCTTGCTGCGCAAGGGGAGGACTGTGGTGTAACGCGAGTAGTCGTCAACCACCAACAGGAAGTAGCGCTCGTACCCCTGCCCACGGACGGGGGCTGGGCCCCACACATCCATGTGAAGCGTCTGCAGGGGAGACTCTGTCGGGGGGAAGTGGGAGGAGTGAGGAGTAGCCCGGAGGCGACCCTCGACACAGGGGACACAGGAAGGTCCTGGCCCGGAGGGGAGAGGAGGGAGAGACTGGGGAAGACCAGAGACAAGGACACGGGAAGCCATGCTCCGAAGACGGGGCAAGGAGGGGTGGCCAAGACGGTGGTGCCACAGGAGAGTCTCGTGAGACAGGAGGCGACAAGAACAGGGGGCAGACTCAGGACCTGACCGGGACGCAGCAGCAAGTACCTGACTCGACGCAGCCACCTGACCAGACGCAGGGACAGGAGGAGACTCAACGGTCAGGGTGTAGAGACTCGACCCCGGCCGACGTGAGAACGTGGCCAGGTGTCGGCCTGTGCGAGCCTCCGTGCAGTGGGTCACCCTCTGACGCGCAGGAGTGAACTGGTGAACACCCCCATCCTGCAGGTCCGCTCCACTCACCAAGTTCGTAGAGAACGAGGGAAGGTACAGACCCGACAGGGTGCCCGAAGGGGCAGCCGGACACGGGAGGACAGTGGAGAAGTGAGACAGGACAGGACCCCCAGAGGGGTCAGCAAGGGAGACCGCAACCGGCCTGGCGAGCGGCGAAAGGGTAGTGCGGTCTCGAAAGAAGGAGCGCGAAGCTCCGGAGTCAAGTGTGAAAGTGAGGGAGGACGAGGACGACTCAGTACCTGAGAGCGCAGTCTCACCAGTACCTGAGAGCGCAGACGCACTGGCACCTAGAGCAGCAGCCTCACAAGCACCTAGTGCAGCAGTACCAATGCCCGGGTCGGGCTGAAAACACCGGTAACCCTCATTCTCCTCACTATAATCCACAACATACATAGCAGTAAGGATAGCATCAAAATCAAGATCAAAGATCGCTACACCAGCCCTGAGAAGCTCATCCCAGCGAGGGATCTCACTAGCCCCAGGGAACTGCTGACGCCAAGCGTCCGTCAGGCGGCCAAAGCAGCGCTGGGTGGCGTGGGCACCCCCACACTGCTCACCCGCGCGGTCGCCGGAACGAAGAACGTAGGTGCAGGGACCAGTACCCCCACCCCTCTGACGCCCAGCGTACCACTCACGAAGCTGCTGAGGCGAAGGGATGTCCCGCGAGCGCTGCTGCTGCTGCCGGTGCGAGCGCTGGCCACCACCACCGCCGCTACGCTGCTGGGTACCACCCCGACCAGCTCCACCTCCTCCACCACTACTGCCTCCTCCGCTGCCGCCTCCACTGCCTCCACCTCCGCCGCCTCCACCTCCGCCGCTGCCTCCACCACCACCGCTGGCACCACCACCACCGTCTCCGCCGCCGCTGCCGCCACCACCACCACCACCCCCGCCACTAGCCCCGCCGCCACCCCCACTCCCTCCGCCGCCACCGCCGCCACCGCCACCGCCCCCTCCAGCTCCACCCGCGCCCTTGCCCCCCTTGCCCTTGCTGGAGCGACGTCTCCCACTAGGGGCAGACGCCGCGCCGACCGACTCAAGACCAAGCAGGTCGGCAGCAGCAGCAGAGGCAACAGAGGGCAGCAAGGGGGAAGGAGAGCACCCCTCAAAGATGGGGGTGCGAGGGTCACCACGAGAAGCACCTACAGCGACTATGCTCTTCTCCGCTGCAAGGAGGGCCTTCTCGAGGAGGTCGACGGTGAGAGTGGTGGGACAGACTGCGAGAAAGTGGTCCCTGACGACGCGAAGGGAGTCAGGGAGGCGTGCGACTACGTAGTAGAGAGCGATGTACATGGGGGGGGGGTTCTTAGCGCAGAACTCAGCAGGAAGGGCGGCGCGGTAGCGAGTGTCACTAGTGCGGAGGTGCGTAATGAGGTCAGCGACAGTGGGAAAGGCAGAGAGGTCAGGAAAGAGGTAGGGAAGCATGAGACGGCTCAGTGCAGCAGTGGCAGGGGAGGAGTAGCGCGCAACTACAGCGTCGTACAAGGTCTGAGCACTCTTGTACTGACTAAAGTGCGCACGCTCAGGGGTAGGGAGGTGGCGACGCACAGCAAGACGTGCAGCAGCATCGCGGGTGGCCCACTTAGAGCGGACAGCGGGATCAGCATCAGCAGCAGGGGCAGGAGAGGCGCCAGAGGTGAGGTCAAAGAGAGAAAGGTCGTCAGCCCTGTCGCACTGTAAGAACAGCTGCAGGTCGTCTAACCAGACCTCAAAATCAATGGCGCGACCCTCAGCGTCAAAAGCTAGGACACTAGGGGTAGCCATGGTGACGACAGCGACGCAGTGCAAGCAGTAGGGAAAGAGCTCGCAGTGTCAGTGGGACAGTGCTCACCAGGCAGGGCAGGTCGTGCAGTCAGCAGAAAGGCGGCTCAGCGACCGGGCGGCTCGGGTGCACAGCTGCTCGGCTCCCGGGCGGCTCGGCGGCTGGGCGGCTCGGGCGCAGGGCGGCTCGGCTCCCGGGCGGCTCGGCGGCTGGGCAGCTAGGGTGCAGGGCGGCTCGGCTCCCGGGCGGCTCGGCGGCTGGGCGGCTCGGGTGCAGGGCGGCTCGGCTCCCGGGCGGCTCGGCGGCAGGGCGGCTCGGGTCCCTGGCGGCTCGGCTGTTGGGGCGGCTCGGCCGGGAGATGCAGCGTCGGGCCGGCAGGTGCAGCGTCGGGCCGGCAGGTGCAGCGGCGGGCCGGCAGGTGCAAGTGGCGGGCCGTAAGAGGCGGCGGGCCGATGGGTGCAGCGGCGGGCCGGTAGGTGCAGCGGCGAGCCGGCAGGAGCAGCGGCGGGCCGGCAGGGTGCAGCGGCGGGCCGGCAGGAGCAGCGACGGGCCGGCAGGGTGCAGCGGCGGGCCGTAGAGTGCAGCGGCGGGGCCGTCGGCAGTAGAGGCGGAGCCGCGTCAGAGGAGGCGGCTTGGCCGCGTCAGGGGAGGCGGCGGGGCCGCGTCAATGGAGGCGGCGGGGCCGCGTCAGGGGAGGCGGCGGAGTCGCGTCAGGGGAGGCGGCGGGGCCTCGGCAGGGGAGGCGGCGGGGCCGCGTCAGGGGAGGCGGCGGGGCCGCGTCAAGGGAGGCGGCGGGGCCGCGTCAAGGGAGGCGGCAGGGCCGCGTCAGGGGAGGCGGCGGGGCCGCGTCAGGGGAAGCGGCGAGGCCGCGTCAAGGGAGGCGGCGGGGCCGCGTCAAGGGAGGCGGCGGGGCCGCGTTAAAGGAGGCGGCGGGGCCACGTCAGGGGAGGCGGCAAAGCCGCGTCAGAGGAGGCGGCGGGGCCGCGAGTGAAAAGGCGACCCGAGGGGTCGCTAAAAAAAAAAGGGCGCGCCTCGGGGCGCGCGTCGGTGGGCCCAGACAACGGTCCTAAGGTAGGACCCGCTCTATACCATGTGAAAGTAGGAAAACAGGAATGAGTGAACTATGAATGAAAGCAGTACAAATATGAAACCCTAACTGGGTTGTACCCCCTATGGGATACCCCACTACAGCCTACACAGCAGTATAAGCTATAGATATGTTCTGACAAGCCGTATAACAAATACATTCTCGCATGTGTTTGTGTTGGGTGGAAAGTCACATTGCACGACATCCTGCCGTCTGTTTGTACGAGTATGCGTGTGCGAATGCATTTTGGTGTGAACGGAATGTTCATGTGTTGGTTTGCTTTCGCAATTTTCGCTTGAAGCATTTGCAGGTACTCGCGCATTGTGCGTTTCGGCACAACATTGTACGCGCTATGAATAGTACAAGCAGAAAGGACGAGGTCGCAAAGGAACCAAAGATGGAAGCTTTGCGGTTCAGTTGAATTGATTGTGCAGATTCAGTTCTATCCAACTCGAAATTGTACTGTTTTGTTTGGTTGACTACAATATAGCAGGGCAGGCACTATAGGGGTACAATTTAGGTGAAGGTTGGATGTTGTTTGTCTGTATCTGCATGCTACAGGGCCAGGGGAAACCAGCGGAACCAGCATTTGGCTGGTAGGGCAAAGACAAAACAGGTTCTGTTTTTAGGACCTGAACCTGGTTATTGTTTTCCCAGGTTGGAAAAACAGAACCAGAGGTTGTTTACCAACCTACCACCTGCTGTTTTGTCCAGCCAGGTTGGTTCTGCTGCTTGAAATTATTTGGGATCATCCCTGGTTGTTCCCAGGTTGATTCCCAAGGTCCTTGCTGGCTAGAGCTATTTATTCTTTCTCTGTTTGTACCTGAATATAGTGAAATTGATTCAAGCGAATTCCTTCCTTGCTGGAATTTCGTTTTTACTCGGTACGACGGCGGAATGCTACACGAGTCAACGCTAGTACGCTAGCACTCCAACACTAGGAAAACGCTATCCTAGCCATAACTTCGTAATGGCAGAAATTTTCGCGAGGCAACTTGGTTCATTTTAAAGCTCTTGGAGCGAGCTTCGATATAGGAAATTCTCAGCTTAATCCTATCGATGGTCTGCACGATACGCTGCGCGACGTTCAAGGTACTCTTGCTGTTTTGACTAAGTCCCTCTTGATCCCTCTCTCTACAAACTCGGACCCGAGGATAGGGGCTGGTCTTGTACCAGGCACCCAAGGACCCTTGGAGGTGACCCCGAGGAGAGGATTTAAATTTGATAAAGTCTTAATAGCTTGAGCTTATTAGGCCCTTACACCAACAAGCTGGTATCAGAGCTGCGTTATAGTGATCCTCGATATAGGTAGCTATGGCGGGCAACACCTCGACGGGAGCTGGTGAATCTTTAGCCCAAGATCATAGCGGCAGCCATGATTCTGGTGTTTCAGCGCCAAGGGGAGCGCGAACAAACCAGGGCTCGCTGGTCAAGGAGGTGCTGAAGAATTTCACTGTCGAGAAGTTCAATGGTGAGGGCTATGATGATTGGGCCTGGAAAATGCAACTTTATTTCCGTCAGATCGGTTTGCTGAAACTAATGATTGGGGAGGAGCCTAGACCGACTGACCCCGCCTTCCAGGAAGATTGGGACGAGCGCCTCTCGGCTGGCTACTATTTGATGTCGCAGAGTTTGGAGCTGAACCAGCGTCACCGCGCCATGCACCTGCTGCCGGAGGTTGAGTGCGGTCCGAAGGCGTGGACCGTGTTGAAGGAGCTGCACGCCCCGACCTTTGTTGTTGCAACATTGATGCTGGAGAGGGAGCCGTGCACGTTGCGCCTGAGCGAGGGAGAGCCGGTGCAACCTGTCCTGGACGAATTGCGCGACCTCTACGCGAAGTTGGCGACCGCGGGAATCACCTACCCGGAGCCGACCAAGTGCCTGAAGATGCTCTCGCTGCTGCCGGAATCATGGCTTCAATTCACAAGCGGATTGAGCCTGCCGCAGAACCAGAGCTCGTGGACACTCGAGTGGGTGCGGACAAAGATTCTAGAGGAGGCCTTCCGTCGCCGTCAACTGAGGGGTGGAGACGACGGCAGCAGCAGCAGCGAAAAACGGCACGAGCATGGTCGCCGATTCGCGTGACAACAACCCGAAGAGCAACGGCGATGCGGAAAACAAGAAGGAGCACACCGCGGGCCAGTTCTTCCATATTGGAGAGCAGGGGGAGCAAGGAGACGCCTTTGCCAAGGTTGGAGCAGAGCTGCACCCCCTGGATTAATGGGTGTTGGACACGGGCGCTGCTTGGACGATGACGCCGCACAAGGACCTGCTGGACCACGTACGAGCTGCACCGATCAACGAGGTGTGCTCCGCCTCTGGACACGCGCTGAAGGTGGCTGGTGCAGGACGAGCTGCGTTTAAGGGAGCGGATGGCAAGCCGGTGGTACTGCACGACGTTCTCCTTGTTCCTGAACTAAAGGCCAACCTCAACTCCCTCCGGAAGCCTGGCAAGTCTGGAGTGAGAACTAGCACGGATGGGGCACGCACTTACAAGGGGCAGCTGAGCAATCGGGTGCTTTGGGATCTGCACGAGAGTACGGACTTGTACAGATCCCTGTGGCAGCTGCCGGCGTTGGCGTGACATGGTGGGGGGCAGGCTGGAGAGGGGTCTGCATCCCAGGGGGAGTGCAACGCCGTTGGAAGGGTCGATGTGAAAGTGTCGGCCAGATCTGGGGAGACAGATTGGGCAACGGCACACCGACGCTTGGGGCATGTGGCAATGCCCTTGTTGAAGCAGTTGGAGAAAGATGGAGCCGTTAAGGGTCTGAAGCTGAACGGACAGCCACCTGATGAGAATTGTGAATTCTGTTTGCTTTCAAAGTTTACCCGTTTCCCCTTCCATAGTGTGGATGGCAGGAGCAAGAAGTCATTGGAGCTGGTCCACATGGACTTGGTGGGGCCGCTGCCGGTTCAGGGGCACAAGGGGGAGCGGTACTTTCTGACCATAGTGGATGATTGGAGCAGGCTTGTGTGGGCATATCCGCTGAAGCAAAAGGACCATGCAGCCTCTACAATACGGGAAGATTGGCTGCCATTCGTGGAGAAGCAAGCGGAGTGTGTGGTGAAGCGGATTAGGAAAGATCGGGGTGGTGAGTTCCTTGGAGCTGAGATGACGGCGTGGCTCAAGAAGCAGGGCATCCAGAGGGAGCTGACCACGGCTTATACCCCTCAGTCTAACGGTCTAGCAGAACGGGCGAACCGGACAATTCTGGAGATAGCTAGGGCACTGCTCATAGAATCTGGGCTGGGCAACCTGATGTGGCCCCATGCTGTTCGGCACGCTACCGTCGCTAGAAACAGGGTACTCACAAAGGTTTGGGATGACTTGTGGGTGCCGTTGGAAAGGTGGCTTGGGAGGAAGCCGCCGGTGGACATGCTAAGGGTGTTCGGTTGCATGGCAGTCGCCCACGTCCCCAAGACCTACCACATTAAGTTGGGGGCAAGTGCAATCTGGTGTGTGCATTTGTGGCTGGCTGCTGAGAGCAAGGGACAGCTGCTATGGGAACCTTCCAAGGGTGTGTTGTTTGACAGCACGGATGTGAAGTTTGTTGAGGGCATGATGTATGGGAGCTGGGAGAAACAGTCGGAGGCCAGGGTGTCCCAGCAAATGGAGCAGATCACCATGCAGCTGGACCTGACTCCTAGTGTATGGGAGGAGGGAGAGGAGGCAGCTCCAGAGGGTGGTGATGGAAAGAAGGTACAAGAGGCACCTGCGGGTTGAGAAAATGATGTGGAGACTAGCACTAGTGGAGCTGCTGGATCTGAAGGGGGAGAGCAGCAGCAGGGGAAAACTAAGAAGCCGAAGGGTGTTGTTATGAGGGGATGGGAGAAACTCGTCTCCAGGCCAGGACGTACCCGTATGGCTACTAAGAAGCTGACTGCAGGAGCTGATGTAGCAGAGCAGCAGCTTGG